TTGCTACGGCCGTAGTGCTTGCATGCATGGTTCCAACATGTCCGATTCATGCAGCGATGTGGATGATCTTACTGGTTCTGCTGCGTCAAGCTCTGGATCGCCCATTTCTCATAGCGACCCGGCCGAGCAAGCTGAACAGTCCTTTTCATTTGCACGCAATGATGCAAAGCGGAGAGTTATCATCCATGTATACCGCGACCACCACCTGCAACAAGGGCGCACCAAACGCTCAGTTTCTGGTTCAAGCGGACGACTGCTCCATGATACCACAGGACTGGACTTTGAAGCCTATAGGCAACGAGTCGAAACAGACTTGCCCTTGGAGGTACGGGATAGCATCGAGCCCTTCCTCCTCATGCTCACAACGATTTGGTCGGCGCATCGTGGACTGGGCGGAGCGGATGATCCCGATCAGGCTTCCGTACTGCAAAGGTTTCAGCTTCTTTTCTACAGGGCAGCAACCGAACGAGGATATCTGGCAACGCAAGCACGACTACTTACAGATGTTCTTAGCAGGGAAACTAAGTACATGCTGTATAGGCCTGCCACGGAATTCCTCACTCGCTCCCTGCCTCCGGAGTACAGAGATCAACTGTTGCAATGGGTCGCGGAAGTCAGACTTCAAAACCGTGCAAGGTCACGGGAGCAGCAACATTGATCCCGCTCCTCCCCTAGGCAAAACTGGCAGGAAATGGTCCTTCAAATATGGTCTACGCCGCCCACGTCGTTGTCGACGACAGCGCAGGGCTCGCTGTATGGGCTGGCGGCTGGCTGTTCTTCAGGGGTCGCCTCCTTGGAAGCAGATGCAGTTAAGCTTGCGCTCCACGTGGCGCTTCTTCTGTACGCTGACCTGCCACCCTCAGAGCTCTAACTGCCTGGCGGCGAGGCTTGTTGGACTTTCTGGCATAGCAACTTTTATTTCTACAATGATGAGCGCTCGCTCCGGTCCTAAGTCCGGAGTCCGCATCAGAACAGCAACCTCATGGAGATTTCTTCGAATGTTCCAGTTTTTGCTGCTATTATATTGTCTACGACAAGCGGATGGCGTGAAGGTTGAGATGGATTCCTCAGCCATCTCTGGAGCCTCGGCGAAGCCACGTGGAGGAACCGCGTTAATGACAAATCCGGACAATCAGGCCGGACCTCACGCAAGACAAGTAATTAAGAAGAGGGCGTACCGACGAGCTCTTAATAGGGCATTGCAGCATGGCACAACCAGGTACCGTGGCAGGGTCATGACCCCGACTCGTCCCCCAACGCTCTGAATCAGGGATCTCACGGAGAACTTCGAGATCGAGACGAATTCGAGTTCTCAGCCACAACCTTGGTGGGGTTTGCACAGCCACCTATGACAATTTTTCATGTTGGTTGGAATCTTGCAGCTATGACATTATTCTACTTCAGGAAGTTCATTTTGGACTAGGGAGGTCCTCCTCACAATGGGACACCCCACAATGGCACATTGCGACTTCAGTTGATCCTGACACACGCTTTGCTGGGGTTGCTGTCTGTATACGGAAAAGCTTGGCCTCATCGGATCAGATTAAAATTAATGAAGTTAACCTCGGCAGACTCCTGCATGTGAGGGTGTATCCGGTGGGACAGGGGCAGGATAACGGAGTTTCGCTGGACATCACCTGCGTCTATCAGCACGCTACGCCTGACAAAAACACGGTTGGGGGTGCTACAGCGTCTTTGGACTCTTCTTTCCAGACACCTGGCTGCCTTGCCTAGACGCAACTTGTTGCTACTTGGAGGAGATTTTAATTGTACCCCCTTTGGCACAGCAGGGCTCACAGGTGGAGGCTTGATCTCTTCAACAAGTGCTCATGCTGACTCCTCTGACTTCAGGGACATCCTTGTAGAGCATGATCTATGCGCCATTAACACATGGACTTCACGACGAAAAGAGGGCGATGCATACACTTCAACACGGTGATCGTCTTGCACAAATCGACTTTCTTTTTCTTAGACGGCATGCATCAGATCATATTTCTCGCGAATGTGGGCCGCTTCACGGTGTTCATGATATAGACCACTCACCCTGGCGCGGGGGCTCCAAACATGCTGCAGTTGCTGGAAGCATACCTTTCTTCCCAGGCTGGCGAGCTGGCGATCACGGCAGGGGTCATGCGCTTGGGTACGATAAGGCAGCTCTGGACAGGGCAGTTCGGCAGAATTCTTCGGAGGTTATCAATTTGCAGAACATGGTCTCAGCAAAGCTCGAAAGGTTGGCTACATGCACTGCTGATATTCTCAATGATGTTCTACTTGAGTCCTGTAAAGCGGTCTTCCCCCCCAAGACAGGTCAATCTTCTGCACGCCCGTGGCAGCAGGAGAACATCCAGGCTTCGGTCCGCTCACTCTGGCAAGCACGTAGTACATTGATGCGGCTGTCATGCAGTCATGCACAGTGCGGTCTGCATGCGGAGGAACTATGTTGGGGCAACTTGCGTCTACAGCTCGCAGGCTTCAGAACGACAGAGATTTGCTTTCATCTGTGTTTGCCTTTCTCAAAGGTCACCATGCCCTTCAGCAAGTGTACAAGCAGCTGCACCACAGGGGCAAGCAGGCACGCAAGCAGAAGCTCATTGACAGGCTGGAGATGGCCAAAGCAGCAGCTGACAGGCATGACCAAATGCAGCTGTACAAGGTCGTCCGTTCGCTTGCGCCCAAGACAACAAGAAAGCCTGTCCGCATCAAAAGTTCGGAAGGTGCTCCTCTATCCTCCAAGGAAGAACACGGCGAAATCATGCTGTATTTCGGCGCCCTTTACAAAAACGACTCGAGCCACCTCGAACCTCTTCCTGATGCTTCCCTGCTGGCAGGTACACCTGGCCCTCTTGTGGTCACAGAGGAAGAGATGCGCTGGGCACTCAAACAGAACGTCATTGGCAAGTCTGCGCCGCATAATCATGCACCGACTGGAGCTTGGGCAGCTTGTTCAGGTCTACTATTGGGTCCGCTTTGCACCATTGCCAACGATTGTCTGAGCGGCAGTGGATCTGTTCCACAGCGATGGTCAGACTGCTACCTAGCCCTTATACCCAAACCTAATAAGAAGCTCAGTAGGCCTGGCAACCTCCGGCCACTAGGCATTCAGGATGTAGCTGGTAAGAGCTTTTCGAGGGTGCTGAAGAACAAGCTACTGGGGCAAGTCTCTGGCAAAATCTATCAGTTTCCGCAATACGCTTATCTTTCGAATCGTGGAACAGATCATGCCATCGATCGGGTGATGCAGCATTGCACCTGGGTCAGAGATGAGCTGGGGCACTGTCGACGGAATGTTCACATCAAGAGACTCAATTATCCTATACACCAGGCTTCAGGCGGATTACAACTCTCGGTTGATTTGTCTACTGCTTTTGATAGAGTACCCAGATGGGCTTTGAGGAGGGCATTGCAGTGGGCAGGTGCAGACAATGACATTACTCGGACAATAGAAGAACTACATGAGCAGTGTCGTTACCCCACTGAGCACGCTGGTTTTCAGGGTGTCCTTTGCATGAAGCGAGGCGTCAGGCAGGGTTGCACCTTGGCCCCCCTGTTGTTCACCATTTTTACTTGCTTCCTGGCTGACATTATTGGTCAGCGCACGGACCGACAGTGGATGCTGGAACACCTGACTTTGTACGCGGATGATACTCATGCTTCCTGGGAAATTCGTCATGGCAGGGACTTGCGTTTTGTTGAGCACTCCATTCAGACTATCTACGCTGTCTTCCAAGAGTTTGGCATGTGCGTCAATGCATCCAAATCGGTTTTGGTCCTTGGGCTGCATGGCTCAGTATGCAAGAACTGGACACATCAAAGGCTGCAGACCACCAAGCAGGGGAAGTTCATGCACTTTGGCTCTCCTCTTCTACCGCTTTGCATACCGGTCTACAGTGAAATGCGCTACCTGGGTATAACTGCATCATACGGTAGTCTTGAAGTCCAGACCATGAAGCATCGCCTACGTATAGCTGCAGGTTCCAGACAAAGGCTGATCAAAGTTTTGCATAGCAGTAGATACCTCTCGGTGAGACAACGCATAGCTCTCTATGTCGCTTGTGTTCGATCGTGCTCCTTGTACGGCGTGGCTGCGGTAGGCTTTACACACAAGAGTCTGGAACTTCTGCGGAGAATGGAGCAGGCGCAGGTACGTGCCATCGCTAAGTCTCCTAGGCACCTGCATCATGAGCGTACTGAAGATCTTTATAGAAGAGTTGGTCTGCTGGAGCCGGACCATGCTATGATCAAGTTGCTTGCTAAGCAGCGCAGCTTACAACAACAGCGTGGGGGCCAGGTTGATGCATGGAAACAGCGTAGTCTAGACTACCTACAGGACTATGTCCAGGGCAGAGCACATGGCATGCTTCGTGCAAGAATTGATGCGACGGTTCCATGTCCTACTTGTGGAGTCTACTTTCAATCTGTCACGGCCACGCGGCAGCACCATGTCAAGAGACATAAGATCTCCCTTGCACTGCTGGCGAGGAAGCTCAGTCATCTCCGAAATCAGGTTTCTATCACTGAACATAGTCAGGATGGGATGCCCACCTGCAAGCACTGTTTACGTGTTTTTGGGGACTGGACTGCCTTTAAAGTTCATATTGCAGACGGCTGTTCTCGGCAAGCACAGGGTGAGCAGGGAGTTCTTTCGGATGAGCAAGTAACGCCCGCTTTGCAGTCCGCTGCGGGGCAAATTTCAGTACCTGCTGGGCAGCCCGCTGTGGGGTCTATTGACACTTACTCGTTGCTCTCTCGTGAAGATGTAGTGGGATGCCTGCGGTCACCTCATTGGCGAAGGACTCTTCAGATTGATGGACTTTCTGCGAGGCTGAGAAATTTCTGTGGCATTTGCAGTCAATGGATTTCCTCCAAGCCGTGTGCATTGCGAAATCATGTTCGACGCATGCATGTACAAGCTTGGAAGCTTTGCCCGGATGCCTCTCATCTCAGCTCAACTTTGTCCATCACGCGGAGCAAACCTTGCGGAGTCTGTGGAGTCATGACCTCAAGAAATACTGTTCACAAGTGCAGCCTGATGTTTCATCTCTGCCTCCTCAAGCTGTTCCTGCAGGTGAAGGAAAAACCGCCGGCTACACTCGACAGCTATGTCAGCGGAAGCCCCAGCCGACACCGGCCGAGGAGATGAACCTTCTCTTCCAGTACGTTACCGAGAAGCAGGTTCAGGACTCCAGCATGGATGGGACAGCAGCTCCGTCGACGGATGCGGAAGGCAGCTCCAGGAAGGAGGAGCGACCATCCAAGTGGCCCAAGGAGAATTCCAAAGGCGACTCCAGGAAGGGCAAAGGCAATACTGGTCAAAGAACGGACCGAGGCCAAAAGCGCCAAGAGTGGGGCTCAAAGTGGGAGGACAAAGACCACTCAAGCCAGAACTGGAACCGTGATCTGGAATCTTTCAAGGACTCGATCCAGCTCTTCTCAGGCACGAAGACGAGCTGGCTCAGAGCAGGACCGAAAAAGAATTCGTCCTGACCTTCGAGGTCCACGGGGGAGGGATACTCTCGCTGATGTGGGGTTTTGCTCAGGCTGCTCAGGAGTGGAAAAAGGCACGGGAGGAGAAGAAAGTCTTCTCAAGCCTGAGGCTGACCCTCTTCCTGGCTTTCCTGCAGGAGTGGCAGCAGCATCTCGAGAAGATGGCACAGCCGGAGGCTCAGGAGGGTGCGATCAAGCTGGGGGTGGCGCAGCGAAATGCGCAAGATCAGAGCGCTGTAATCTTGAAAAGATAGT